GATGCACTATATTGGAGAATATCTATAATATTCGATAAGTATGATTATCCTTTGGCGAGTTCTAATACACGGACATCTTCGTAGATTTCTACTCGACCCGGTGTTTTCCGATTACGCGTTGTGAAATCGAAAGAGCGGCTTCATTTAAACCAGCTTATCCATCGCTAGGTCGAGCACAGAGTTTTCGATATCGGACTCTTGGCTGACCGTCGGCAACGTATACGTGCCTTTCGAAGGATAATAAAATGATAGATCGGCCGATCCGTCATATCGCTTATTTGCAACGTTCATTTGGTCTCAGCAATACCTTGAAAAATTCGCTAAACCATTTTCTCCATCGTTGTTTTTCTGACTCGAGAAATCGATTTATTTTCTTCTTCTTCTTCTCTCTCTTTCTCTCTCTCCCTCTCTCTTCCTCCCTTTTTTCTGCTCTCTCTTTTACATATTGCATAGATAGGTAGCGCGTTCGAGTCTCTCAAAGCGGATAAAGTTCTCGTATCTTATTGCCATCGTCTTCTCGATCTTGTTGTACACAGCATCCTATTCCAGATCTGTAACCAGTAGCAACAGGATCGAAGAATCGAGAATATTCTCTCTCTCTGCGTGGTGCACAAATTTATTCAACCGTATACATATATCCTACTTGAAGACAATGAACCTCAAGAAACTCAATATCTGAGTTTTCATCTCTGTGGAATGGCATCCTTTCGAGGAGAATTTTTTTCCCAACCTCTCGAAAATAAACGGAAAGAAAAGGAAAAATAGAGGAAGAGGGAGAACGAGAGAGAACATAACGCGTTAACAGGACGATTCGAAGAATAGAAAAGAGAGAAGCGTAAATTTGCATTTCCATTCCGCAAGACAGGTGGTTCGTTCGATCAAAGTAGAACGGACCTACGCTTGAGAGAACTTCTTAATCGAGGAAGCCGCAAGCGCACTGCAGTGCTCTTTGGTCCTTAACGCATTTGGCAGAAGGTCAAACGTATTAAAATCCTTGACGTTCTAGGACGCGTCGAAGCTAATACTAACCGCACGAATAATCCGATATATATATATATATATATATGTGTGTGTGTCCTCTCTATATATCGGATATATCCTTTCAAAGAGTTTCAATAAACGTCGCTCGTATTTTCGCGTCCATTCATTCACTTTTCCCATTTTCCATTTGGTTTTATTGTTAAAACGAATCTAAAGAATAATCTGAAAAAGAATGTGTCGCAATATCTTAAAAAGAACTTCAACGGAGATACGAGGAAAGCGAGACGATCGAGCGAACGTTGAAGATTAGGTTGTACGCCGAACGGATTTATAATCGACTGCTAGCACAATTAGGCGCACATCATGCTAAATATCATTACGCATTACGGCTAAACATATCATTCGCAAAAATTGCGCACGCATAAGCTCCACAATCTATACATACACGATGTTCAAATTTATCACAAAAACACATAAAATATCTACGTGTAATTAAACGCATCGACGGCCCGTCACGCTCGACTTACCAAGCCTATTTCAATTACATTCAATTATTAGAATTTAGCAATTTTCAAATTTTATTTGATATGACGAATAAGTTCATGACGATTCCTAGGCATATCAGGTCTCGAACTCGAACGATTTCTCGCAAAAACGTAAAGCACGAAAAATGTCGTTTGCCCGATGGTAGATTCGAACGTGTCAGCTTCGAGTTAATCTCATGATCGTTCGATTTTCTCGTAAAAGAACTGGAAGATATTTCGTTTGAGTAAAAGTTAGTCCCGATCATTCTTCGTTCGACGTTGTCGATAAGAAACGAGCTTCCAGCTTCCGTCTTTGATAAGAAAACGCTATAAGTGGTATAGTAAACGCTCTCCGAGCTAAGTTAACCAAACTCAGACTCTTCTCGTTTCTTCGCGAAAACCCGCATGCTTTTCTCCAATTTCTTTTCGAACTCGATTCCCGGAAATTTTCATCCATTCTCGAAACTTTCACCTTTTACGACTGACCCTCCTTCTTTGGAAAAGAAATTTAATAACTCCGATAAGAAGGAATTCTGAGCGTTACGCGAGACCCACCCGAGTTCGAACCCTTTTATCGAGAGAGAAACGCTTTAAAATCGACCTACATATCAGATATATATCTTATGCGTCAAAAAAATATATGCAAACTTTATATATACACATGCATACTATATGTATACCGTAGTCGAGCAAACTTCGTACTTGTCACGAACGCAACGAATTCGAAACAAGCAAAACAATTATTTGTAGACGTAATTTGCGTAAACGTAGGGCAGGTAAGCGAACGTACGACGACCGACCGACCGACCGACCGACCGACCAACCAACGAGCTTTTGCCGTTGACGTCCTCGGTTCTCTCCTTCCTTCGTCCTGCACGCGAGATCCTTTTTTTTTCTTTTATATGTCACAAATGCAATTCAAGTCCCGATGTTAATTTAATTTTCGATATATTTATCTTCGTTTTCCAAGAGGACGTGCGATCTCGACGAAAAACGAAGGACCGAGTGACCGATAAAATCCTTATCGCATTTTCATATCATAGATATCTTCGTACCATTAAATGTCGTTCGTATCATTCGATTCAAGAAAGAGTGGAATCTTTCCTTTCGATCGGTGTAACACAGTAAAAACTACTCAATGAAAAGAAAAGAAAAGAAAAAAAAAGCAACTCATCGATTTCGCGATTAGCGCGAGCATCGAAGCGACGATTAGCGTGTAAGCGAAATAAAAGGTAATACGTTGTTAAGGCCTAATAGATAAACTGACGATAATGTCGTTAGACGATAACGAAAAAAAGCAAGCGAGTAAGTAATTAAATACATCGTGTTTTTGTTGTCTATTTCAGTTGTACATTTGCTCGCCTTCGAGCGCGTCTCCGCTTTCCTTTCTTTCTCACAAAAAAAAAAATAGGTGAAACACCGCGCGAGCGAGTGTCTTTATTCAATTAAAACGTGATATATAATAATATATGAGTTAATCGTAAAGAGAAGCTTTTCGCGACGTTTTAAACCGCCATCCGTGTTACGACGAAAAAACAAATCGTAGCACGCATTGTCGCCAAATTATATATAAGTTTTATTTCATATTTTCTTCCGCACTTTCCGCACTATTTCATTTTCTACGAATTACAAGAAAAATATTACATTATTTTACTAAATTCAGACGAAAGAAGCTTTTACTCTCTCTTTCTCTTGAAAAATAATCACGATTCATTATTTTATATTAAAACATTTTGTCAAGAATCCGACAATTCGAAAATAAACTCTTTAATCTTTTCTTTTTGCTTTCTTTTACGAAGAGATAAAAGAAAAGAGAGACGCACTCGATGGCGGCCCACATTGTGGGGGTAAATGTTCAAGAGAAAGATAAAAATATTCTGGTGTTACTAAGGCTTCTTCTAGCGAGAAAAGATACTCATCCCTTACCGCAAGACTGTCCCAGATGGAGTGAGAGACAAAGATAGAAATAGGTAGGGAAAGAAAAAAGAGAGAGAGAGTGAGAATGTGACCGAGAGAAAGCGAGAGAGAGAGAGAGAGAGAGAGAGAGAGAGAGAGAGAGATTAAGAGAGAATGAAAAGAAGAAACGCTATCGAGGTAGGAGGGACAAAGATACCTGCGGCTCTCTAAAAATACTTATTAACACTTGTTACGCGCTATCGATAAGTTTATATCGTATCTCTATCATGACAAAAACTTTACGAGTATTATACGTGATATTACATTTATACGGGCTGTTACGCGCTGTCTCGAAGGACAAACGCAAAGAGAAGAAAAAGTAACTTCCATTTCTCTCTTCCGCGAGAAGGACGACTAAGCAAGTGGAAAAGGAACGAGAGACGACGAGGACTTTTTAACTCTGCACTTTGCTAAACGATACAGAGAAGACAAAATTCGTGCGTTTTTCATTTATTTTCTCCAGAAATAAATTCAAGAAGCTGTTACAATTTGGAAAGAAAAAATATCTTATGAGAAGATAGAGAAAGGAGGAAGAAGGAAGGAAACTCAAAAGAGATTGGGTGAGAAAATCTTGAACAATCAGAAGCGATTATTAAACAACGAGAAACGGCCGTGTGGCATTTTCCAATCGATTTTCAATCGGGTTCTTGATTAATGGAGCAGAATCGAAGAAAAAGCAGAGACTACGCTTAAGAAAAAGTGCTTATCCGTGGTACAAGAAAGGGATTAAGATAAATGCTGGCTCATCCGTGCTAGGACGGGTATTTCGCGTTTACTCGTCTTAAGTATAGGAAGAACGCGATCGTTTGAGGCGTCGAGAGAAAACGAGAAGACGAGCAAAAGTAGTCGCTGAGAAAGTAGAAGAAGCGTACGAAAAAGTCATCGTAATCCGTTGCGCGACGTCATGGAATTGGATGATGACGAAGGAAGAAGATAATGCGCAAGTTCGCACGAAAAATCTCTCTTATTTTTTCCCTTTTCAACTTTTCTTTTCTTTCGCTCGTAGCTATTAGCTATTACGGTGGTATGACTTTTAAGACGGACTTTTGTAGCAAGTTTTTTCCTCTTCCTTCTTCATATTATTATTGTTGTTATGAGCATCTCTCTTTTTCCCAACTTTAGGAACTCGGATCAGCGCTTTTTCTTTCGAAAACTTTTTTCAAGCGAAGCATCGTGCGTGTGCGGCCACGGAACGACTCGACTTTTCGAAATTTCCTTCTTCGAATTTGCCAAAGGGGAGAGCGGGATTTTCCCTCGCTAAGGAAAAACCAAGAGTTTATTCTTCTCTTTATATCCACGTGAATTATACCCTACGAAAGGATCTTCTCGTCCCATCCGCGGAGTTACAAAACTCTTTCCGTGGCGGCACGTTTTCAAAGACTGTATTATCCTATTTTTTCCAAAGCAAGAAAGAAAAAAAAGATTCGAACGCCTGCGTCATCGTCGTTCGCGCGACCGACATACGCGCGCCTTCTCTATTTCGTTTTTCAAAATGTTACTAGGCTTGTTTTTAATAAAAATTGTTTTTTTGTTTGTTAGAACGGAAGCGGACCAGGAGGCGAATCTGGTGGACGAGCTAACGGGTATGTATCTTTTACTTATCCTTTGTATTTACAAATCAACTATTATGCTATGTTTGCTGAACTAACTTGCAAAAATATCGAGTCTCATGATCGATCGTCAAATGTGATCATTGCACGGCTAGATTTAGCCAGTTTAAAGTACTTATGCGTCATTAAAGGCAGCCAAGGAACCTCTCGAAGCTCGTTAAAACGATACAATCGAAGGGTCGTCGTTGTCGCGATATCATCGTATCATCTTAAGAGGTAGGAAGCCCTTAGATCGGCACGCCACGAGAAAGGGAGCAAACTAGGACTCTCTATAGGTTTTTTTTCTACTCGGACATATCGAACACCGAGGGAATGTTGAAGAAGGTCGAGGAGAAAAGTGCTTTTTAATTGTTGCAAACTGCTCGAGGTGAATCGTTTAGGGATCTTGAGACAATCAATAGCGCTCTAGATTTAAAGAGGATCTCTTCACTAGGACATCTTTACGTTCAAATATCTCTCAATTTTCGTAGTCTTCCAATTTATTCTCATTTCTATACACGAATGACAAAAACAAGGTAAAAACATACTTGTAAACCTGTCCATTGGAAATACTCATCGATAAACAGCTGTGCTATATCGACAAATTCAAAAATCGGAAAAATTGGAGATAGAGTAAAAATGATTTTAACTGATTCGCTAAGCGAATTGCTCGTTATTGTTCGATTTGGGATTTAATCTTTTTCAACGATGAAAAACGAGTCACGTTAAAACAAAAACTCCTTAATCTTTACTTGTAGATCAACCGCCTAGTCACATTAGAAGGAAGATTACTAGATTTCGTTAGATCACTAAAATTAAGCAACGTAGACACGATTAATAAAGCTAGATGGATATCCAGTTTGAAAAAAAACAAATACCGTGTACTGCGTTAAAAAGAGACGACCTTTTTGGTAGTATTAGATAAGTGTGAAAACGGAGAAAAAAAAGACGCACTCTTTCACTTATAACCATTAATTTGTACCGATGCGATTTACTTTTTCAAAGTTAACTAATTTTCTAACCAGACGACAATCGGCCATCAAATCCTTTAAACGAACGATTCTTCTTCTATTTTCCTATTCCACATCGATTTAAATTCTACAAAATTTAATCAAACAGCGTATAATCTTCTCCGTTGCGTAAGAGCTTTCCGTTTACGTTAAATAGAAGAGGATTAATAAAGAGAGAAGGAGAGACAGACAAAGAAAGGAAAAGAGAAAGAGTACGTACTAGGCGTAAACTATCTCAAAATGATGGATCGTGCGTATCATAATACTTAAATGTTGGGAAACGTTTTTACTCCAACAAATTGCCCTAAAAATTTATACGATCCAAGATCCAATTCGAGAGAGGAAGAAATGAGGTCAGTTCGAGGAAATATTTCGAAGCGTAGTAAATGAATAGGGAATTTTTTATTGTTTTCATTTTCATTTGCTTACGCTGAAATGAAAAGATTTGAAATGTAACAACTACAATAATTAATAGGACGTGTCCTTGTTAGGATCAACAAATACGTAGGTGTACTTACACACATATAAGTATGTAAATAGATACTCTTTGTTAGTACAAATGTGCTCGGTAAAGAATACGCGCGGCTTGAGAAACAAAAGATTTTTCCTGACAATAAATGAAGTTGTTTTTTTATTAATTGCTGTATATCATTTAATAATTTTCAACTTGAAATTTAGATCTCTCCTTCAGAGACCCTTCCTTAATTACTCCATATTTCATAATTGTATTTCAGGACCAAACGTTTCGTTGTACCAATTACTTGTGTTATAAAATTCCACGGGAAAAGGGTAATTAGAAAAAAATGAATAAAAGGATTACTTAAAACTTACGTAAAATTAGGAGAAAGAGTGGTTATATTCGAGGAGGTTCTTTGTCGTATACTCGAGATTCTTCGAAAAATTATTCTCAAAAAACAGGGACAAATGTTTCGATCGTGGGAATTAGCAATACATGTAATTCGAAAGTTTAATTACTTTTAATCCATTGGATCTACTTGTCATCTGATTCAAAGCAAAAAAATGATAAAATAATCCAATGAATTTTTAAATTGTAACAATACAATTAATATTGTATATACAACAATAGAATTTTGTCTTGAATGTCTTCGTAAAGAATCAGTAAATGATCAATCGATGTATTTCCTTATAACAACGCTTCTCTTGTGATTTTTTTATGGAATAATAAACATCATCTAATATGAATTAATTCTATCTTTGTAATCCTTTGTTACAGGCATCCGGGCGATAATCCTTTCTACAGCAACATTGACAGTATGCCGGATATTCGGCCGCGACGGAAGTCAATACCATTGGTCTCCGAGCTGGTAGGTAGTCGAAAGCCACATTACTGTTATTCTGTCATTGTTTTAACAATTCCCGTATCTCTTGATACACCATATAAATCCATAAATGTATTATTCTAGGCATATAAGTACACTTTGTACACGCAAGCATAGCTATATGTACATCTCCTGAATCGTCCGCGTTTATCGAACATTTTTGATTCGAACATTGAAATCAAAATGTTACCGTTGTCGTCGTCGTCGTCATCGTCGTTTTTCTCCCTTTTCCTTTCTATCGGCGAAAGAACGAGAAGTAGCAAAAACCAAACACGTCACTTTCTCATCGTCGAGCTAATTACTCGTTTGATTTGTTTGAATTAATTTGACTAGTCAATTGAAAAGATCGAGCCGCTCATTCAACACCTACATTACACAATCCATGCCTTTTTTAGGATGTAAAAACTGGCGCAATTTATGATAACGTACGGCTTACTAGAGTCTAAAAATTCGTATTTATTTCTACGACAGTTCATTTCTTCACGTCTTTTAGAGTTATCTTTCCTCCTCAAGTTCTTTCCTCCTATCTCGGCGACGACGACTAAGTGAACCATAATACGGACTTGTCGTAAAAATTCCATTTTTTTTACAGCCAATTTACCTACAAGGCTATCTTCCGAATAAATCGTTCTTAACGAATTTCAAATAAAATAGAATTAATCTCGAACTAGCCTCGAAGGTAACTCGTAATTCATACAATGGTACATGTTCCGTCCCAATCTAATTACATGTGTTTGCGTTTCAGTATTACATCGTCTGGTTAATAACTTAAAAGTACTTTTAATTAACAGGCGTTAGGATAAAATAAGAGAATCGTTAGACATTGAAAGAAAAGCAATGCTTTAGAAAATGTAGGAATTCTATCCTTAATTAAAGTTTCAAAGGAATCGCGGATCGATCGACAGTGCCTAAAAAGGACACATTTGAAATTCGTATTAATGATGAGAACGGGAACGGGAACGGGAACGGGAACGGGAACGGGAACGGGAACGGGAACGGGAACGAGAACGGGAAAGAGAACAAGACCGGAAACGAGAACATCGCGTCGATATTCGTTTTTTCCTTTTTACTTATTTTCTTTTAATCGGACCATTATTCGATGGCGTTTTACAGACTTGACCGACTTTTATTAGCGACGCGTCCAAAAATCAATTGGATCGTAAATATCAGAGGAGAGCTGATTAAATGTGCGTTCTAAAAGATTTCATATCGTCTTTCGATTTATCCAAGATAAGTAGAAAAATTGATAAGAAAGAAATAATTTAGAGAGAGGATTCGCACAATAATATTTGTGAAGGATGATCGTTCCAAAGTCGGTAGCAAGTTTAACGAGATAAGATATTAAAATCGTTCTTCAAATGATTACGTAATTAAATTCACACTCCTCCTTTCGAAATCCCTTCAGGGCACCTTAGTTTCCCGAGCCCGTTGTCTGTGCCCCTGTATGTTCGGTGTCGACAATTTCTATCTGATTGTTGTGTCTAACGTTACCTCGCCAAACGGAGAACGGACACGTCGATTGAATTAAACCGATCATCACAACGACGAACCTCTTCAAATTATCGGAGTTTGGCGGATTGTTTATCTTAATCATAAAACGAATTTAGCGATACTTATTACAAAAATAATGTAGCAATAAAAGAAACAAATGGACTACGTCAAATGCCACGTCATATTCCGATAATTTACCGTAATTAAAAAGAAAAAATAGTCCAGCCAAGTGAATTCTTTATTAACTTACAACCTGCTTTCAACGTTTATGCAATATCTTATTTCATTTGGACATATCGCATATAGATTCGATTTCTAATGGGCTATCATTTCTCAAAGTTACGCGTTACGATTACGCGTGTCCGTTAAACATTGTCTCTGTGCCTCTAGTGTGTCTAACTTTTGAACTATCTATACTTATCTCGTTGGAGAAAAAAAAAAAAAGACAAAATATAAAATCAAAGAAAATAATTAAATAGAGGTAAATAATACACATACTAACCAGCATATAATGCTATTTTCTTTGTTTGTTCTCTGTGGCGCCCATTGTTGTATCCACCTGAACACCTGAAAAAACTAAACCACTCACTGAAAAAAAACCTCTCAAAAACTCTACCTCCAGGTCTTGAAGGTACTAATTAAATGCCTCCTTAGCGAACTTAACTTAATTAAAAAAAAGGCTTGCTTGGATGTTGCATGCGATTGCTCGTCGTTTCGACATTTTTCTTTCTTTCTGTTTTTTAATCCTTGCTTTGCTTAAGAAATAATTCGCTTTTCGTGTCTTTGATTTTGAACGACAGTCGTTTCAATAGTCCGTGCCATAAGCAACGTGTTTTCATTAGATATTTGATTCATTTCGCTATTAATAGTAATCAAAGAAAATAAAAGAAATTGTGAACCGTTGAATTAGAAACCGTGTAGCAGCACGGTGCGTTCGTTAATCGCAATACCGCGCCGTGAGTAAGTACATTTAATCGAGGTCGATGCTTGGGGTACGGGCCACAGCCGACTTTCATATGAATATGCATCGTAATAATAAAGGATAAATGTAGCTTGCACGCAGCAGATGATTTGATGCTTTTCGTGTGTAATAGCGCAATACGTCAAGAAAAGGAGTGGTGGTGGTGGTGGGGGGGCGGGGGGTAAGATGAGAAAGCAGTGTTTCGCGATAAACGTTGTATCACTCCTGTCATTAACACCAGTAACCTAAATTTCTAAAATTATCCTTACTTTTTTTTTTATTTCTAATCAACAGCACCCTGGGATACCTGACAAGATTAGTCTTTATTGGCGCAAAATTTATTTTCATCGGTCGTTCCACGAGCGAGCGTAACTTGAATAATTTTGCCTTTAGCAAGATACTATCCAAGATTAAACTCAATAAATAATCGTAAAATTATTCGTTTTCTCTCGGAGAAAAATCGATACTGATGCTTTCTCACGCTTTATTTTTGATGTCCGTCTATGCATGCACTACACACATACCTAAGCAATATATTTTCGCTTATTGTTAGTCGTTGCCGTCACGTTTTGCATGCACATACGAGAACAAATTAGATGGACGTAGTCGTAATCGAGCAAAATATAGTTGGTTATAATTAACGACAAAATAGCACGTACATAGGATACGGCTAGATTATATTTAACAAATATTTATAAACAAACGAAATAAAAGAAAAATCCCCTTTATTTAGGTTAACTCGATAAAGAAACGATTAGAAATTGCCTATGCGTCGATAAATGAAAAAAAGAAGAAATCGCAATTATTTAAAAAAAGAAAAACAAAAAAAAACGGCGCCCCGTGCAGAAAGTACGTAAGCACGCTTTTAATTATACACGTTAGGAAACGCCATAGAGTAGAGAAGATCGGAAACCGCGATACAATATGAACGGTAAAGCGAAATTAGTGCAGAGCATTAGAGTACGAATTGCGGATAAGAGAAAAACAGTAGCGCATGCACCGTGCACGGGGCCCCGTACGTAATATCTTAATTGAAATCTACGCGGAACCGCAAATCTCCGCGTGCCACACCTACAAGGCACCTATAAGCTAATTGGATTAGATTTTCATCATAGACATATACTCTATCCCCCTTTCTCTCTTCACTTAATATCTTTCTTCCTCTTTCTCTCCCTCCCCATCACCCCCACGCTCCCTTCTCACTCCCTCCCTCTTTCTCTCTCTCTCTCTCTCTCTCTCTCTCTCTCTGTTGCTATCTATTTTTTTCTATTTTACATCGTTCGATCCATCTTTAATTCGTATATCTTTTATTTCCATTTTTCTCGCGGTCGAGCTGTAATTCTCTCCTTTTATTTTGATTTTATTCATATATTCTTCTTATATATTTGACGATCCTTCTTTTCTTTTTCTCTCGCTTTTTATTTATCCTTCTTAAACATTCTGCTACTCATAGTACACGTAAATGTAAATATGCGAATATGTTGCAAAAAACAATGTAAATGATATCCATTAGGAGACTCCTCGGAAAATTGTGAAAACACCGAGACATTTTCTATATGAAGGAAACAATTTGTCTATTTCCACAATATCTATCCAACTTCATCAATAATTCAAGGATATTTTTTTCGAAACCGTGAAAACGCGAACCACCAGAAAATTTAGAGAGCATTCGTTTTAAATCTCGAAACTTTCATGAAAGATCGATCGTTTGACGACTCTCGAGTAAAAAAAGAGAAAATGTTATCTCGACGTCATTTACATACGAGCTTTGTTCTATTTTTCGCATGATGCGCTCACATATCTATGTACCTATCCACGAATACGAAAGAAAGGAGGAATAAATATCGAGGAGTCTCTCTCACGCCTTTATTTTTTCTTCTTTTCGTAAAGAATAGAATCAGAAGGTATAAGAATCATTAAAGCACGGCTCTCCAAAGAGATCCATGTACATACAACAAACACATATTTTTTTCATTCGTTGTACATAACATCATCTGTTCGGCTAGAATTTGATTTATTAAATACATAATATTTGGCACGGTAGAACGATTTTATTTTGCACCTTCTTATAATTAATCGAGACGATGGAAGCAAGTTTTACATCCAATTTTTATCCTCGTATTATTAGAATTAAATGAATTTCTATAATTCTTGTACAATATTTCGATATACTATCTTTGTAAAAATTTGGATCATTCGATTTCTTCACAATTTTTTGTATTTTTCTTCTAATCACCGATAATTATCTCTTACTATTGTACGTATCAGCAACTATTTGTACGACATCTCGATAAAATGTTTTTCGTATGTTAGCGCTCTTTAAGAGAGCTTACTTTTTTCACTACTTTCTTTTCAATCGTTTACGTTTTTCTCGTCTCCTATGTTTCGTTCATATTTCTCTCTCTCACACTCTCTCTCTCTCTCTCTCTCTTTCTCTATCTCTATTTCTTCTTTTCTACTCTCTTTCATTCTGTCTGACTTTTTATTTCCGCTCTTTCTCCCTGTCTATAGAATAGAAAGACCGGAAGGCATTAAAGCTGAATCAGATCCACATTAATTTTGATCTTTTCTCAGACAATGGCGGCGACGAAGAGGAACGCCGCAGGGCTCACATCCGCGGTGCCCAGGGCTACGCTGAACGACGAGGAACTGGTAAGGACTCGTACTTTAGACGATCTACCTCGAGACATCATCGTCATCCTTCTCGTATCGATGTAACGAAGAAAAAGGGTAAAGGAAAAATAGAAGGAATAAAGTTAAGGAAATATCGGTGGGCAGAGTCGCGAAAAGGTTCGCTCTCGCTTCATTAGAACGAACGTTTTCGTAGGCTCGTGCAGTTAAACTTGGTTTCTTAGATTACAGTTGTCTTTGAAACGTTCGAAGCATCATTCAAATCCATAGAATCGCGAACGCGCGTAAGCTATGAAGGGAGCTCGTTTTTAATGAAAAAAGTTCTTACTTTTACGAGCTGATTACGATATTTTTCTTACAATCGAATCCGGTCCAGATCGTAGAGAGGATAAAAATCATTTACTGTTGTTGTCTGTCTTTACGAATTGATCCATTTTTTTCTGGCAAATCCGATTGGAAATTGATTGATGGTCGATTGGATCTAAATTTCCCTCGAAACTCGATACTCGCATATCATCGGCGATGATATGACTTTTCTTAAGAATCTTACATTTAGGAAGAGAAAGTTTTGGAAGTAAGTTTATTGTCGCGGCTGGATTCGTAGCAGCACGCCATCATTTAACGCGTTAAGTTCGCTATTAACTTCGCGACGTCACACGGCGACGCGTCGTTCCCCTTAAGATATTAAGAATTAATTTAACACTCTGTAATCTATCTTTTCTTTCTTTTTTCATACGAACCGCTGCAATTTTATCCTCATTTCCACGCTATTTTCTTTCACGTAAGTCTGGCCCAAGCCTACTCTTTTTCTCAATTTCTTTCGATCTTTTATATACTATCTTTCTCTAAATACGAGCCACCCCATATCAGAAGTTCCCTTTTGCGCTATAAACTTGATGCCGGTGGCAAGCGTGTAGCGAAATAGAAAATCAAATGTTAGCGTGCTAGGACGAGCATCCTGCGTATATAATATACTACATACATACACATATATATATATATATATGTATATGTTTATATCTTAATCTTATAGATTCGCACGCGACCATAATATCCGCGCGCAGTAATACACGCGTGTACATAGACGCGATTTAGAGAGAGGCGCATCGAGCGTCGAAAGATCCAAATACGGGGAAGTAACGCGTGTCTCCGTTCCAGTTGAAAACTTCGAAAGATAAACCCTCTACAACTTATCGAAATAATTAACAATTAGGCTAGTCCGCTAGGGCTCTTTGATTTTTTTCTCTCTTCGGATGTTCCTTCCTATGAATAGTTCGAGAATTGAACGTGAATTTAACGCCGATCGCGAGGTGATTAGATATTTTTCTACATTGCATTAAGATGTTAATAGAAAAGAAGTGAGATAAGAAAGTAGGAAGGAACATCCTTGGCTCCGTGCGATAGTCCTATAGTGGTGCTTCTTAGCAGATCGATGCTTTAACCCTGCTCTATCCAGTATATATATATATATACACAGTATACATATATACATATATATCCTTATATGCTACATATAAAAAGATATATACGGGATACGGAGAAAACGTGTTCTCTTCTATTCTTTTTTTCTTGTTCTCTCTTTCCCCTGGCAAAGTTCTTGCGCAGGACCCTTTTAAAAGAGAACAGAGAGAAGAGAAGAAAAGAGACAAATAAAAAGGGAAGGACCTCCTCTTTTCCGATCGCTCGCCAAACCTTCTGCCTGAAATAGAAAACAAAAAAGAAACGTTGTTTTTCTATCTCGCAATAAAATGTTACATTGTCCGTTAGATAGCAAAGAAAGATACCAACGACGAGTAGATGCATTTTTCCCTTTTTATTATTATTTTTATTTTTTTATTATTATTCTTATTATTATTTTTATTATTATTTCTACCACTAATATTTATGGAGACACGTTTGATCATGGTCTTTGTACAAAAAAACTGCAAATGTAAAAACTAGGAATCGCAGGCACGATTCGAGAAGCTCAATTTTTAGTGGATTTGCGTGCACATCGACAATAGAACGCGAGAGTAGATCGTACGTGTGGATGTGTGCAGATCGAGCTGTACGATCCTGCATGGAGAATTAGGAAAGTGATTTCGTGCAAAAAAGAGGAATAAATCCGAGAGCGAGTCGAAAGAGCGAGGTCGAGTTTTATTCGGAAATATCTTATTTTAAACTAATCGTTAGGATGTGATCGAAACGGCCTCGCTTTTTCGACAAATCGCAAACGATAGAGTACGAATGTTGACTCTTGGACTCTTCGTTTGATTCTCAAATCGATCGAAAAAAATGTTATCCGCGAAATATCTAAATATGAAAGTTATCAAAATTAATGGATGAAAAAGCTTGCATCGAGAGATCTGAAAAAACCTTTTATCTCTTTCACCTATATCCTATTCCACCCTTCCCCACCCCTCTTTCTTTCTCTCTCGATGAAAGACGCATTCGCAATAGTACATAAATAAAAGATCTTTCTTGAATGAAGGAAGGGTTCAAGTGTTTGCAAGTGCATCGAGTGGCTGGTCGAATGCATCCAATTCCAAAATCCGATTGAAAAAACTCCCAACTTGGCAGATTCCATTCTCCTCTGTCATTCAAAGCTCCTACCTTATCCTATATCTCGGTATCTATCTCGGTACCTTCGAGAAGCACGCTTTAACGACGATACGACCATGCTGAAACCCCGCAGAAGATGCACGTCTACAAGAAAACGCTGCAAGCGATGATCTACCCGATCTCGTCGACGACGCCTCACAATTTCGTCACCTGGACTGCAACCTCACCGACTTACTGCTACGAATGCGAGGGTCTTCTCTGGGGTATTGCGCGTCAGGGCGTTCGATGCATGGAATGCGGCGTAAAGTGTCATGAAAAGTGCAAGGATTTGCTTAACGCTGACTGCTTGCAAAGTAAGTTTATCTTTAGAATATAATATGTAATCCGGCATCATTTCTAATAAGAATCTCAATCGACTTTTTTTGTAACACTATTTGTAAAACTATTTTCTCGAAAACTAAATTTGTCCTACCTCCCTTTTTCTCCATATTTCTGTTTTTCTGTTTTTCTATTTTTCCTGATCAAACGTCTGATTAACGATCGATACGAATAATTTCCGTCGGCAAGCGTTGCAATATTTTTATCAAAAACGTTTCACGGTTCGCAAAAGCGCCTTAGCAAACGCTCCCAACGAGCTCACACCGGAAAATTAAAGCTTTTGAAAAATGTTTGAAGCACGTTCGCTCGGAAAAGTGCGCGAATACGTCCAGTGCTTGCGGATGCGTCCTTTTGAGAGGATTTTGGATAGGAAAAATATTAAATCCAACTCGAAATTTGTAAGAGAATTACTATTGCTAAAGCTACCGAAATAAGGGGAAAGTGTAAAGACAATTTTCATTGAAATTCGTATTGGGATTTCAAGTTTCTTACGAATCGTGATTTTTCGATACGTTTCCGATATTGTCGAGTAGAAAACTTTTTTGATTCATTGTCAGCACAAAATATAAAACTCTTTTCTGGTCACGAAAAAAGAAGCATCGTAACTGTAAATGTCCCACTTATTTGTCTATGCTTGACGTAGAAAAATTGAACGCGAATACCACACGATGACGCGTCAAATTCACAGAATTCTATAATCGTGGTTCGTCGAAAGAAAGACAAAGAAAGAGAAATGGCTTAACGACTAATTAAAGATAAGGTACGATCAATCGCGAAAGAGGAATCGGTGATGAAGTAATTAAAATTCATCTTTCGTTCGAGGCTCGGAAGTTTAGTAGTCATGCGCATCTACGAATCTCTTCCACTTTTTATTTTTACAGGAGCCGCGGAAAAGAGCTCGAAGCACGGAGCGGAAGATAAAGCGAATAGCATAATCACAGCAATGAAGGAAAGGATGAAGCAGAGGGAGATGGAAAAACCAGAAATCTTCGAGCTCATCCGGTGAGTCCTATCTATTCGCTTTTTCATCCTCCATTTTGATTTTTTTCCTTTTTTCCTTTTCCCTTTTCTCCTTTTCTTTCCTTCCTATCTTTCTTTTTCTTCCAATCTCTGACGCAGCACGGCTGCAAGGCCAAAGTAAAATCCAAAGTTGATTTCCACGGAACCGATTGGTTCGCGTCTTCGTCGTCTACGTCTACGTTACTCGTCTTCTATGGAACAATCAACGACATTTATCGTCGAAATGCATTTTAAGTGATAAATTGTCGCAAGTATTTTTAGACGATCGACAAGAAGGATTGAAATGTTAAATTAGAGAAAGTTCGAAATCAGGTCACAGTCCCGCGCGTCCAAATTTCCATTTTGACTCGAAATCGCGGCCGGATGGGCATTGCATTTTCCCGAACATAACATCGAATAAAACGTTGCGGTGCGATACGTATTCCGTCGAACGTATTGCTGTTGGTTACGTCAAAAAGAGTTTCATTCAGCAAACATCGTTTGCACAAATATAAACAGCCGTGCTTTCCTAAAGAACGTTGCGTCGAGAGAACATAGGTACATTTTCTTTTTTTTTCCTTTGTTCAAATTCGCATGTACATTTGCGCTTGTGTTCGATCGATAATCTCCGAGGTCTCAATTCGAATCGAGCACTTATAGCTCAAAGATTTACTCGACTAATGTACTTCTACTAGCTAAAGACGTTAACTATAATATTAACTGTTTTCCATCGGAGATATTCGTTAATGAGAAAGCTCGAATAAAAAAAGAGGGTGTTTTTACTTTTCGCATCGCATCGTAATTTACGGAATCGATCTGTTTATAACGGTGAAGAACTCGAGCTGCTTGGATGGTTATAGAAAATGTTCTAATTGGCATAGTTTGATTATCTTCGTTGTAATCGACGTAATAGTGTCGTAACGTCAAAGACGTAAACGAGAAAAGAGCAACATCGCCGTTGGATTACTCGAAGCACCTAATTATTAGATCGTCGTAATATTACGTCAATTCGCCAATTGTTAATGTTTTACTACTGTTTTAAGTAGTAAAAAGTACCCGTTAAAAGTGGCGCTTAAAGGGCTTACACGAGCGCTAATGATATAATATGATAACGACAATCCCTACTGTTAATTAATAACAAATATTAGAAATGCTATAGCACCATCGGTTCGATAAAAATCATTCGATCGCACGCAATCGGACTAATTTTCCTTTAAACGTTCATAGTAATCGATACATTTATTTCGGATTCGATGATAAAAAGAAAATTTATTCTCAAGTTCCATCGAAGATGAAAACGAACGAAGACGAACGAAGACAAGGAGATCAATCGAGAGATCGACCAAGAGATATCCAGTCAAAATCATCGTAAACAAATTGCTTCGCGTAATTTTGTCTTTTTCTTTTAGAGGCCGCTCTCGTCTTATCTTCTCTTTTGTCTAATTTCCAAAAAAACTATCGAAATACGATAACAAATTTAACGTTGCATTTCGAGAGACGCGCGTCAACCAACTACGTTTCATTTTGAGGAAAGCTCATCGGCAATCGGTATCCTCGCTAACGCGTATTTCATCGATGAGCAAAGTCCCGTGCTAATTATGAGCTCGCATGACACCTACTTATGTCTATTTCTCCAAAAATACCTACTTGAGATACCTACAAAGAAGAAAACTTTCTTCGCAGTAAATCATTAAAAAATGCCAAGGTAACGAGGCGGTTTCGTTTTATATACATTCAAGTCTCTTTTCTCTCTCTCTCTCTCTCTCTCTCTCTCTCTCTCTCTCTCTTCCTCTCTCTTTTTCACTCTCTTTCTCGCTCTTTGAAACGAGCAAATGGGAAAAACCTGAACGAGCTAAAGTGTATAAACTTGGAAAGCTTTTACGAGACCCTCTCTCTCTCTTTCCCTCTTCAAGTCTGCGGTCTGTTTTCTTTCGAGAAAGCTATAGTATTTATATACTCCCGTAAAACGACAACTTTTAAGAAGGCAAGCCGAAAGAAAGAGAAAAAATATTCTTTCGCGTGCAGACAAAGGAGATAAAGTGAGAAAGGGCGAAGGGTAGGGGGGGGGGCTTTAGCAGAATAAGAAAAAAGGTGAAAGGGAGAGATAAAATTTCAGTTCTATCCTACCCAAAAACAGGTTTTCGATAAAACGCGTCCTCGTGAGTTTTTTTACCGAGACCAGGCTCTTCTTCGTATATTTTTTTCCAAAACTCGTAAACTAATCGACTTTCGTACGTACAACATGCATACCTATATAATACACGCACACTTTTATTTTCGAATAAAAGCGACTCTCGAAATATCGCGCTCGCGAAAATAATAAGAATAAAGAAAAAACGAGAAACGATGTTAGATAAGACGAGACCGAGTCCGTTGAACAGCCCAGTTGTGAAAGAGAGTCTCGTCGGAGTTTAGGTCAGTCTTTGGGATCGAGGATGTTGCACACCAGGGCCACATGTCAGCGGTGAAGCAGTCAGTTCTGGATGGTACCAGCAAATGGTCGGCGAAGATCGCCATTACAGGTTTGTGACCAGCTCTCCTCGTCGTGAGCTAAACGACGAAATGGCGAAGCGAGAAACGCGTCGGCTCGACCTCTACACTACGCCTACAAATATTTATTTATATACATGTATACATATTTATATAAATGCCTATGTGTCTATGTTCGTATCTATATATATATATATATATACGTACATATATATATTTTTTTGTTTTGATATCGTTATTCTTTCTTATATTTTTGTTACACGCACACTGTCATTATTTATATTCTCTGATTGTTTATTATTATTATCGTTGTTATCGTTTTGTCATCAGATGTCTGGCGATAAACCCACCTCTGCCGCGCGGCTGCTGCGCTCCATAATACCGATTGTGCCTTTAATATATATTATACACCCTATGTTTTCTATATATATATATATATGCCTACGTATAGCGATAGATGTGTCACAGCCACGAGACGATTGTTCCTCTTTGAATATTCCCACGCTATCAACGAAAAGTTTTCCATGACACGGAGCTTAAATAATCCTTTCAAATTCAATATGTCGAAAGAAAAGAAAGGAACGATCGTAAACTTAGTTACCATACTATTTCTGTCGCGTACATACTTAAGTATGTAAAATACTACGTATAGAAGGCGAGATTTGATGACCGTAATTACCTATAAAAACTTAAGAAAAATGAATATCGTATAGAATGTTCAATTTTATTCTGAAAACGTTTAATTGAAAAACCAACGAATATGAAATACGAATATTTGATTTGGTAATGTTGAAATCGACTCAAGCTCTATACGTAGTCGTACTTCTAGCTAGGTGCATTCCGGCATGCAGTCGCTATACAGTGTCATCGTCTACGACCTACCTTTTGTCGCCTGGATATGCAACGATTTTGTACGCTGGCCATTAGTGCGCACCATTAATTGAACGTTTCCTCAGAACCACCCTTCGCGATCATCTACCTGTTACCGGTAACCCAACGACGACATACTTAACTCCACCCCAATATCAACTTTCTTTTCTTCTCCAGTCTTCTTTTCTTCCTCCTTCCTTTTTCGATCGTCGATGAAATGATTAGCTTAACGTAACTCTCTGGCTTGTAAATCGAACGGAGACTCTGTTTGTCTCTCCGAAGACAGGATTAGTCTCAAGTTTGTATCCTTTCGTTCATTTATATGTCGCGGAAAACAATATAATTTTATTCGTCTTGGTTAAAGCTAAAATCTCGAGGGATTGCAAGACTACAATGCCAGTTGCCGTTCTCTCGTATTTCGTGTTCAAGAGACGAGACCCGTGCGAACAAAGTGTATTAATATTCTAAGCAACACGCCTCACGAATATCTGGTATATTTCAGACTCACTCGGGAAGCTCGTAATCATCCGTGTCAAAGAGACCGATTTGATACCGTTCATGATCGATCGAACTATTCCTATGGGCTAAAGAAGAAGTTCGCTAACGAACAAATGCTATCAAAGCGTGACATAAATTTCAAATTGTTTTCTTCAAAGGATGTAAATTTATCCGAAAGTACATCGCGTTATAGCTATTATCGAAATATTATTAGGAAATAGTGTAACGAGGAAGTCATTAAGGTTTGTGAATCGTCACACCGAGACGTTGCTGTTGGGTCATCGCACGCCCAACGACCTGGCAATCTAATCGAAAATCTATTAACCTCGGGCGGCAACTTGTTGTTACCCGCGTAAATATATACGAGTTGTATAGTACATACATAGGTAGCATATACCGTTGCCATTGTCATAGGAAAGCATTCGAACGAACGGAACAAGCGAAAATGTAAATTTTGTCAAGTTAATATTAATATAGATGCAACACGTTTAAAAGAAAGGAGTTATATCCTTAATTGAAAAGGAAACGTTTGCTAAAGTTTCAAGTTGGCGATGCGCCACCGATACGGCGCAACAAGTTTTCTTATTTCAGGCCGTCTCGGTCAAACTCAAAGCGGATGTAAATTCAACGATCCCACCCTACTAACAGGTGGCACGCTCGGCGGGTCTGGCTTAGATTCCTTCTCGGTCTGCACGCGATCCATCGATTTTTCTTTACTCGCGTAAGCCCAACGATCGTTCCACTAAGTGTACTTCATTCTTCGCCAATTCGTTACTGTCTACGAACAATTGGATTTTCCTATTCCAATTTCCTTTATCCCACATATTCCCCCATTCATTTCATCTGATAGCCTAGCTTCCTTTCGAGAAAGAGAACATCTCCGAACGCTGGTTGTTCGAGGATAAGCGTCACCTACTTACATGCACACGTATATATAGAGTACTTCGGCTAGCTATAGAAAGGATTGCAAGGGGCAGACCTGGCAGGGAAAGAAATATAAGCCGATTCAAATGTGCGCTACGAAATGCTGTTACTGTTGCTGCTGTCGCCGCTGTCGTTGCTGTTGCCGCTGCTGCTTTCGCTTTACGAGCTCCTACCGAAACTTCGAAACGTCACTTACAATGGTATACGTTCGAACGAATCGTCGCCGCTGCTGGAGGACTTTGGGATGATTATCGAGGAGTCTCTGGGCCAATAACAACGGCCGACATGTCTTCCATCGTCCTTCGCTAGCCTCTCAAAATATTTATCTTTTTTCTTTCTTTCTTTTTTTCTTTCTTTCTTTCTTTCTTTCTTTCTTTACTTTCTTCTACATCTAGGGAAAAGGGTTGACATCTAAATGAGAACGTACAAGAAAAATAAAGTAACACGAAAGAGGTATGAGAGGTTGTCGAAGGACGAGGCGTTTACGAGGACATTGTCTTCTTTCAGCACGACGTTTTCAGTCGACCCGGATACCCACATAGACAGTCTCGAACAGGCCGAACAGATCGTCCTTGAGGGTACCAGCAAGTGGTCCTGCAAGATCGCCATCACAGGTGACAACACGATACTAATATCTTAAAACTTTTTCACGGTCACGAACTCGATCGAGATCGATCGGAGTCATCACCTTGACTGATCTTTTCTACTTTTTATCCATCACACGACACGAACACACGCTTCAACACGCCCGGATTTCGTAACTCGGTTGCCAAAAAAAAGCCGATATCAACCGATAAGAATGATCTTACTTCGATATAAAAAATCTTTCGACCGAGCGTACATAGTAGTGTACATGCAACCCTTTTTATTCGATTTTGATCGCTGCCATTCTCGCATTCTCCAAGTGGCGCTGTAGAAACTTTCGTATTCCATCGCTAGCACTCTTCTCAAGTAAATTCGCAATCTCTCCCAAATCTTGGTAGATGCGTAGAAAATCTTATTACACGTAGAGTTTTAACGATCCCTCGAAAATTGATCGCCAACGAACAACACGATCTTTCATGGTAAACGTTCAACTTTTACTTTTATCGTAGAAAACGTTTACGTTCTGGCTGAGAAACGGACGTGCCGTTTTCATCCGTTAAATATGTATTCTAGATCAGGGAACCCACGGCGATAGCTTTCTTCTCTCTCTCTCTCTCTCTCTCTCTCTCTCTCTCTCTCTCTCTCTCTCTATTTCTCCATTTTCACGTCTACTACGAGAAGAAGAAAAAGAGAGACACGCGTCGGAAGGTCTTCAAAGTTCGAGCAGGCGTATCCAAGGAACGAAATGTCAAGAAATATCTTGGTGCGACGACATGCAACTTGTCGAAAGGAGGAAAGGAAAAAAGCTAAGTCTGACCAGACAGGAAATCGAAAAACCACGAACACCGATTTATGTAATCTCCCAGTCTCAGACATTTTTTGCAAGTTGAAAAAAGAAATGATAAGAGAACGTTCGGATAAAAAGAAACCCAGGAGAAATAATTGAAACATAAGAATCGTAATGCGAATATGTAGGATAGAAAAATGAAATGACAAATCTTTGGAAAAGAAAATTAAACGGATGAAAGAATTTTACCTTGCGGCTTCTCGCAGTAACATAAAGGATAACGAATAGAAGGAAATGTGTATTCATGGCGCGTAATTAATGCACCCGTATAATGAATACTACCGTACCACATATGCCATAGTTTACAGCGTTTCACATAATTAACAGATGGTATGAAACTCATGTTTACGGGTTGATACGTTCCTTTTTCCAATTCCGTCAATAATTGCGTGTATCTATTATCTCAAATCATTGTTTCAAATATAAAGTTATTGAATAGTTTCCTTACTCGGAATAAACGAATAGTTCATTTTGATATCGGGCTCAACGATCTCTGTTTCAATTCTTCTTTAAAACGCATGATTACGAATTGAAATTTCCATGCATAGTTTGTCCTCGACAAGAATTTACGACACATCAAAGCGAATCTAAATTCTCGAATTTTCACTGTAAAACGTTACGACGAGCGGTATTAAAATCCCGAAAAGAAATCGTAAACTATTCTGCTAGAACTACTAGAACTGTTGTAGAAAAGTAAAGAAACCAGGGCGGAAACAACAAGAGATATAAAAATTCCAAGGGAAAGGAATTGAATTTCCTCATTGCATAATCTTGTGTATATACGTAACTTTGTAAGAACATCATCTCACACGTCTCATCTATCTACAGAAACGAGTACGAGCCCAAGTACAGAAATACAAAAATTCTTATAATATGAGTCGAAGCGCAAAAAAAGGAAGAAAGAGGTAATTTAGGTATGATATACCTTTCAAGTCTTTTGTTCGTGAGCCTCACATATAGAAATTCTCGAAACTCAAGGGGATGGATCTTTCAAAAAGCGTATTTATTTTTAACCATAAGTCTTAGAGAGCTGAAGGACAAAATAAATGAAAATCCAAATAGAGGTAGATATGTAAGTAAACGAAAGAAAATAAGAAAGAAATAAGCTCACGAGCGTTTAACGGTCACCTTGCAACAATTATTGGCAATTAGACGTATATATCAAGGTACAACTGAGAAAAGACGGGAAAAGAAGGAAAGGGTGGAAAAAGAAAGAAAAAGGGAAGGAACGATCATTAGAGTAATTGCTACCTCGTGGCAAAGCAGGTCAACAGGTTTTTCTCTTCTTTCTTTTCCACCTCTCATTGTCAATTTTATGCCTCTTTATTTCCATTTTTCTTCATATTTTTCTCTCTTATTTCGATGGTTCCTACAAACGATCGAACTATGAACGATTTGAATTTTTGAAAAAATTTGCTTATACGCAGCGCGCGACGCGACATTTCGTGGAGAGGCAAAATGGAGAGAGTATCAGACAGCGCAATTTCCATTTCCGCCCTAATAATCAAATCCCTTGACTCATATAACGCGAATTCAAATTGTTACGATCCAACTAAGAATTTAAGTCAAAAGAACAAATGTGTGTGAAAGAGGTGAAGAGGAGAAATGCAAAAGAAGAAAGAAAAACTGATTACGACCGAATAAACAGGTTGCATTGAAAATAGAAAAAGGTATACAGGGTGGATGTTAATGTACGGCTATGCAGAGATGCGAATAAAGAAAAATACAAATGGTGAAAGAATATTTATTCGTGAGCGAGTAAGACAGCGAAACGAAGTGTACTTTCCTAGCCAGTGGATATTTCCTACCCATTTTTGAAAGCACGGACCGTGGTCTTTCCAAGGACGAAGAAGATTAAAACGATGTTGCAATCTTTCTGATGTCCTGGTGGAAACTCGAATTCGTGGCAATGCTGTAATTGTAGAAAGATGAGAAAAGAGTCGATAAAACTTGAAATGACAAGAAAATCGAATGAAACGAAATTTTGCCCTATTTTTGTCATAATAAATAAATGGAGATGAAAAAATATTGCAAATAACAATCGCATAAGAAACAAGTTGCGCGAATTTGATAGCAGCGCAATTCGTTTCACTCGCATTCTTCTTATTATATCTTACTCGGAAGAGAAAAATGCTGAAATATTGTGGGCACTTGACGAACCGTCGATTTCCATCGTAGCCAAATCGATCAAAGAAAAACCTTCAAAAGACAACACTCGAAAGACGAATATCTAATAATCTCCCTTTTCTCTCATTTGATATTTGTTCCTATTTCGAGTCGATAGAATTTAGACGAAATTTCGAGAACGGAGATGGAAATCTGGACTAGTTGGAAGTTGAAACGGGGTTTCAGTCCTCGAAGATTACTTACTAGAAAATCTTTCGTTTTTATTATTAACGCGAACAAGAACTATCGTTTGAAGACGAACGAATGTTTTACGATACCTGTTGGATACGATAAAACGCATACGCGGGCACGGGCACAAACGTACTCTGTGAAGATCGCAAAGTGGATCGACGCGGTGATTAGGCTTCAAGGCTTAGGTTCATCGAGGGCAAGGTTCATTAAAGAGGGGAAACATCGGCAACCATCCCTCCTTCTTGCGTCGGCGCGGCGCAAAAACGAAAAGCGAAAAGTTTGTAGCATGGGGCATGTGTGTCTGTCCATCTGTCCGAAATACAGCACGTTATTATACTTATTATCGTTGCACAATTCTATTGATAAATATATTATAACGTTTATCTGTATCACAGGCGTATACCTAATACATCGATTTAATAACTTATGTTAGATATAACACGTGTCTACTTAAGATTCACGCCGAGCTTATGCACGCTTCAAAGATGTTGCCTGTCACAGATGTTGAACAACGAATGTCCAATCTTGTTTCTTGTGGAGTCTTTAGCAATGCATGTATCTCGATATCGTGCGTCTATGATTTGTGTGCGTTTCACAACAGAATACGTCGTACAAAATGTAGACAAATGTATTACTAATGATCCTTTCCATTTGTCGATACCGTCATGCTCCGAGCCGGACTATATTATTTTCATACTTTTACGTATCGAGAAGATAAAATTCTGACAAAAAGTGAGAAAATACCTTGACACCGTATTCAAGAATACGAGTCGCGTGACTATAGGATTCCTTTGAAAAATCGGTCAATTTTCGAGACTAATTGCAAAAGTAGAACCTCATAGGAGCCCGTTGTTCTATGCTTTAACGGTACGAATAAAAGTTCTCGCTTCGTATTTTTACGCGTGGATTATTATTTTGTCAAAGAGTTTGTAGAAAGATAAAGCATTTCTTAAGGTAAGGATTTGGAAGCTTATCGCCGTTTTCCGATCGAATTCTTTTACGGGCAAAGATTAGACGGATAAAGGGGAACGCGGTCGCGGCGCGGCCTTTAGGAAATAGCCGATGGATTTTATACAAAGAGATATACCTACTACATAGAAAGAAAAACAGTTGAACTGGAAAGAAAGGTTTGTAAAGAAAGGTCTTTTAGAACGGTAAGGAATGGCAAGCATCATTCTATTCAAGATTCTACGCGGAATCTTGTCCTAGAAACTCACGCTCCCAGCATTTTCTTCTTTCGCTTTCGATGACTTTTCTACTATTTCGAAAGATCGCGCGGGTTAATCATATTCTTTTCTTTTTTCGAATCGAGAAAGATTAAGGAAAATCGAATAAAACGGTCGTAGGTATTGCCATATAGGTGTAAAGGAGTATTTGAAAATCGTTCGTCGCGAATTAAAGCCACAATACTTGTGCCCATATTCGCTTCTATTAATAAGATTTTTCCTGCATCTCCCCAGTGATCTGCGCTCAGGGATTGATCGCTAAGGATAAGAGCGGTACATCAGATCCGTATGTCACAGTTCAGGTCGGTAAGGTGAAGAAACGAACGAGAACGATGCCGCGCGAACTCAATCCGGTCTGGCACGAAAAGTTTTACTTGTAAGTATAAATCATACTAAAGTACATCGACCTTTCGAGAGGGGTCATAATAAATTGCTTACAGGATCGTGACACGCAATCGAGTCTCGCGATCGAATCTCGCGAGCCGAATCCCTTAAACTTTGATAACCGGCTAAGGTGTTGTCACATCAAAATTGATATATATGCACGTTTCAAAGTCGGTCAACCTTTAATAGCTAGATCTCACGTATTATTACGTAATCGTCAATTTATATAAAATCGTTGAAAGGATCGATCAAACCTAATCGAGTTTGTCAATTTTTGCAGCGAGTGTCACAATTCATCCGATCGAATAAAGGTTCGCGTCTGGGATGAGGACAACGATTTGAAATCAAAGCTGCGTCAGAAACTTACGCGAGAAAGCGACGATTTTCTTGGACAAACGATCATCGAGGTGAGAACTCTCAGCGGTGAAATGGACGTCTGGTACAACCTGGAAAAGAGGACGGACAAGAGCGCAGTATCCGGTGCCATCAGGTTGCATATAAGCGTAGAAATCAAAGGCGAAGAAAAAGTCGCTCCGTATCACGTGCAATACACCTGCCTGCACGAAAACCTCTTTCATAGTCTATGCGAGGAGAACGCCGGAATGGTTAGCCTACCGCAGGCAAAAGGCGAGGATGCCTGGAAGGTATACTTTGATCCACCTGGCGAAGAACTCGTCGACGAGTTCGCCATGCGATACGGCATCGAGAGCATCTACCAGGCTATGACGTGAGTCTTTTACGAACCGATCACTTTCGACCTTTATCTATCACAAAAAAGTTATCTACTTACTCCACCACAAACGATTTGTTGACGCTAATTCATTTATGTACTTACCATTTACATTTCAGACATTTCCACTGCCTCTCGACAAAGTACCTGTGCCCAGGGGTCCCCGCGGTAATGTCGACCCTCTTGGCCAACATAAACGCCTATTATGCTCATACTACCGCTAGCTCGGCGGTTTCCGCCAGCGATAGATTCGCTGCTAGTAATTTTGGGGTAAATATTTCTGCTCGTCTCCGTGACAGAATCTAAGTTTTATTCATTAGGATTTGTAAATTTCGGAATAAAGAGTAAACGTGTTAATGAATTACCGAGTTAACGATTGTTCGTTCGCAGAAAGAAAAGTTCGTTAAATTGCTGGACCAGCTTCACAATTCCCTGAGGATCGATCTCTCGTCGTACAGAAATAACTTCCCAGCTTCGAGCCAGGAGAAACTGATGGATCTAAAAAGCACGGTCGACCTTCTGACGAGCATTACGTTCTTCCGTATGAAGGTGCAGGAATTGTCGAGCCCACCTCGAGCGAGCACCGTCGTCAAGGATTGCGTGAAAGCTTGCCTGCGTTCGACCTATCAGTTCCTCTTCGAACATTGCTACGAGCTCTATAGCAGAGAATTCCAGGCTGATCCGAACGAACCGAAGAAGGATCCGGAGGATCACGGACCCCGACGGGACTCTCTCGACTTTTGGCACAAGCTCATCGCTCTGATCGTTTCGGTGATCGAGGAGGACAAGAACAGCTATGCGCCCGTGCTAAACCAATTCCCCCAGGAGTTGAACATCGGTCAACTATCGGCGGCCACCATGTGGTCTTTGTTCGCAGTCGACATGAAGTACGCCCTGGAGGATCACGAGCAGCATAGACTGTGCAAGTCCTCGGCCTATATGAACCTTCACTTTAAGGTCAAGTGGTTGTACACGAATTATGTGAAAGACGTGCCACCTTACAAGGGTGCCGTACCGGAATATCCCGCCTGGTTCGAGCCGTTCGTCATGCAATGGCTCAACGAGAACGACGACGTATCCTTGGAATACTTACACGGTGCCTTCACTAGAGACAAAAAGGATGGGGTGAGTGGGTCGATAAAACCATTGATAGAACAATCGGTGGCTTATTTGAAAACGCTCTAACATATCCGCGTAAACGAATAACGTTCTTATTTACGTCTTCTTATACAGTTCCAAAAGAGCAGCGAACACGCTCTCTTCAGCGTATCGGTCGTCGACGTGTTCACGCAGCTCACCCAGTGCTTCGACGTCGTCTCGAAACTAGAGTGTCCTGATCCGGAGATTTGGAAGAGGTACATGAAGAGATTCGCAAAGACTATAGTCAAGGTTCTGGTAGCTTACGCTGACATTGTCAAAATGGAATTTCCCAGCCACTTGAAAGAGGAACGAATCGTGAGTGTTTGCAAAAAAAAACAACGGGAAAAGTTAAAAGGTTAAAAACGTCAAATATTTCACTTGACAATTTCAGGCTTGCATACTTATGAACAATATCCAACAACTGCGAGTGCAGCTCGAAAAGATGTTCGAGTCGATGGGCGGCGAGAAGTTGGAGGAGGACGCAGCAGAGATCTTGAAGGAGCTTCAGCAGCAGCTCAATAGCGCTTTGGACGACCTAGCGATGCTTTTTGCAAAGAGTCTCGAGCCACGTATAACTGCCTCGGTCCGAGAACTGGGAGATCTCCTTTTGGCCATCAAGGGTGGTGGTCAGGTGAACTTGTCTCAAGCGCAACAAAGAAACAATGTCGCTGTAGAAGCCGACGAGGTGTTAAGGCCTCTAATGGTTCTCCTCGATGGAAGTCTTTCCCTCTATGCCGAATCCTGCGAGAAGACTGTACTCAAGAGACTGTTAAAAGAACTTTGGAAGATTGTCATGAGAATCCTCGAAAAGACTGTCGTCTTACCACCCATGACCGACAAAAGCGTACGTTTTCTTAACAAGCGTTTTTTAATTGATTTCAATTGAATCATATTACAATCGCAAAGATTTTTCTAATCAATGGGAAATATCTTTTATAGATGATGTTCAAGAACTTAACGGATAACGCGAAGAATCTCGCAGCGAATGCCAAGATAGAAGACATGTCCAAGTTGTTTAAGAATCACATGGCTGGAAAGCCGGATGTCAAGAACGCTCTCAGCGGAGTCATGGTAATGTGCCATTTCGTAATAATTCGCCGATCATTTTCTACTTGTCACTTTCTATTAGCCATTGTTTATTTGAAATATTGTATAATCGAATTAACTAAAGGCACGTTCCTTTTCTTTCTAAGGATATCTCGAAAGAGGTGGAAAAGAATCTTTCGCCAAAGCAATGCGCAGTACTGGATGTTGCTCTCGATACCATCAAGCAATATTTCCATGCCGGCGGGAATGGTCTGAAAAAAGCCTTTCTCGAAAAGTCTTCGGAATTACAGAGTCTTAGATACGCTCTCAGTCTGTACACACAGACAACGGACACTCTCATCAAAACCTTCGTCACGTCTCAAGTCAATCAAGGTAGGTGAACCACTCCTGCATTTTCCCCCGACGAGGGAAAATAAAAAAAGTGATCGAACAACTAACAAATCGATCGCTTTGGGAGAATATTCAAATCAAGGTGCAACTATGCTCTTAGCAAGATAAAACAGTTTCCGCTATTTTTGTTGTCTTTTGTTTTTTTCTTTTCTTTTTCACTTCTTCTCTTTCTAAAATGTTGAAAAAAAAAGCAGCGCGTTTAGTAACGTAATTAGTAGTACGTTTAGCGGGAACGTCTATGCGCGCGATATCCGCTCGATTGACAAGAAGGTTAAATGAAAATTGTCGGGACAGTGCCGCTGAACGATGCGTCAACGCTACGTCAGCGTCAGCGTTCGATGAGCAGCGAAAGAGGTGACGAAGGGGAAGGAGCCGAGGGTATGGAAAGCCTCGAGGAACCCCTTCGCCAAAGCAAGCCCTCTCTCCGTCGAGAGAGTCGTCAAGGTACACCAAGAGCACGACGCAACCCTTAGACCGGAAGTTGCAAGGCTACCTTCGGTTACACGCTTCCTTTCGATTTCTTCCGAATTTAGACGCTCGACCATTACAAGATTCTGTCTGTTGCGACGTCATCGTTCTTCGAGACGATATTCTTTTTTTTTTTACTTTTTTTAAGCCTCTTCTTCTCCGTAGCTTTTTTTTCTTATTTTTTTCTTTCGAGACTCTATAGATTTTTGGACATTTGAAAATCTCTTGCTCGAAGACGTTTCGACAGACAGTAGTAAAATAGCGCTGTGTCGTAGTAGTGCCGCTAAAAATATCACTACGGTTGCTAGCGCTGATTAAATTCATACATCACGAAAAAACACGCATACACAAAAATAGATAAATTAGATCGTATTATATCGTTAGGAAGCTTTTCAAACATCTTAGTTAACATCGATCAACCCCCACTCACTCGGAAATCTTCTCAAAGAGAACAAGATTTATATGCATTTTCTCACTATCTCGCAAAAAAAAACATCGAGAAACGATAGAATGGGGGAGAGGTCTTTTTTATCGACGCGAAGAGTCGATAGCGTGCACGAAGGATATTCCTATGATAAATAGACACTGAATGTTTTTCTTTAGACGTTGGGAAACGAAGGAAAAAGTAGGCTAACTGATCGTTTCTTCCGTTATTTTCATTTGAAAACCCACAGACGAAATATCGTGAAAATGTTCTATTTTTATTGCTATTCTAATGGAAAGGCCTTAACATAAACTTGCTTCGTCTCCTCAATGCAAGAAAAATAAGTAATTGCATATCGGTAGAGCATGTTGATTTGCTCTCTAGATATAGAAGGAAAAAATAGAAATTTAGAAATGGCCACATTTGTATGATACTTTTCATCGGCTAGAATTCATTACTTTTTTTACTTTTAACACGAGTAGAAGAAACAACTGATTTAACCTTGTCAAGTTCCAGAAACAACTGGCACAGACGAGGGTTCCGTTGGAGAAGTTAGCATCCAAGTGGACCTATTCACTCATCCTGGAACCGGTGATCAAAAGGTCACGGTGAAAGGTAACCTGTCTTTTTCCTATATTTACATTTTTTTATTCAAATTGATAAGCGTGTTTCAAAGAGAACGTAGAAGAAGGAAGCGCGATTAATCGATTCGTTGTTCATTTTCAGTCGTTGCTGCAAACGATCTGAAATGGCAATTAGCTACGGGAATGTTTAGGCCATACGTCGAAGTCAATCTGATCGGTCCACACCTAACCGGCAAAAAGAGGAAACAATCGACCAAATCGAAGAGCAATAATTGGTCGCCGCAATTCAACGAAAGTTTTGACTTGTGAGTATCGACAGAAAATTATGAATGAAAAAGAAATATAAACAAAGTATATAAACAATATGATAAACTAATACATATGGTTGATTCGAACAGCATGATCGGTAACGAGCAGCAACAGCTGGACTTTTACGAGCTTCATATTTGCGTGAAGGATTATTGCTTCGCTCGAGAGGATAGACTGGTCGGCGTGGCGGTGATGCAAGTGAAGGACATCGTCGAAGAAGGTTCCTGCGCGTGCTGGCTATCGCTCGGCAAGCGAATTCAAATGGACGAGACCGGCTGGACAATTTTGCGAATTCTCTCGCAGAGGAACAACGATGAGATAGCGAAAGAATTTGTGAAGCTTAAGAGCGACATCAGGCAGGAAACGCCGCTTCCAAATCCCACCTGAGACGGCGAACCGTCGACACACTAAACTCGACAGCGATGCGATACGTCCTTTGAGCTTGGAAAGAGCTCCGAGGTCTGCCGATGGTGGACAAGTTTTTGCCTGACGATGGAGAAGCAAGAAAATTAAGAAAGGAAGAAAGAAAGAACAAAAATAGAGTTCACACTTTGGTGCCAACAACAACAGCAATATCGACGACTAGAAATCCCTGCTGAAAAAAAGAGGCGAACGCAGGGGAACCGATCGACTCTAACGGCGCAGCGGCGATTCCGATTGCTGCTCAAACCGCCCATTTTCGCGGACGACCGATCGAATCTCTTTCGCTTTGATATTTTACGGAATCGACGAAAGCAACGGTTCCTTCCTTCGTGCGAAAGAGATCCGAACGACACGCCGTTTCTTCTCCCTTTTTTACGAGTCACACGTGCTACATATACACGACACGCCCACCCGTGCACACACACAGACACACACACATTCACTGTCTGTCCGCAGACGGAGTTAAGTGTTATCGCCCACAAAATACAGAGCTCGACCAACGTTCTTTCGGCTCGTCAAAAAGAAAATATATCTAATACCAAGGACGATTTCTGCCGTCCTTTTTGGAAATTCTTAAACTACGAGCTTGACTGAGACTGAAATTGCCCCGACGATTACGATGACGACGACGACGACGACGACGACGACGACGACGACGACGTAGACGAACAACGCTATTATAAAACGACATCAAGAAAAGCGAACGTCATTAAGGCGAAAGAAGGAATCCAAGGATTCCTTCTTTTTCGCCGTGTATCGCGAGAAAAGAGAAAATAGTACGTACGAATCGGCAAGAGTGGAAACAGTGAAAACAGTGCTGCCAGTATGCAATATATTTGCTAAATATTCGTTATGTAAAAGGGAGCAAGGGAAAAAGAGAAAAGGAGAAAAAGAGAGCATAAGAAAAGAGATGGGAAAAGACTAAAAGACTGAAGATGAGCGCGTGGACAGACAAAGAAAACATTAGTATGAAGTAAGGTGACAAACGATGGGGAGGCATCATGAAGAAACGGATAAAGATAAGGTTAAGAAAGTTCGAAAGAAGGAAATATATGCGAAAGGCGATATTCCGCGCTCATAAAGACACGATAACCTTTAGGCCGTTTGTTCGGATGGACGAGAGTTTACTGTAGATAAACGTGAAAACATATTGTTGACGAAGAAGAATTTTTCTAACACAACTATTTAAATGTAGCATTGCGTACGACCAATGGGCGCGCCCTGACGTCAATCATGGCGTGCCATTAGTAATAAAAACTTAGGCATTGTAATGTATAAAGTACCTACGTTGTTATTCGTAAGGGTAACAAAAGTCAAAGGAGAAAAAAAAAAGATATGTCGGCGAGAGACTGCATCGTTAGGGTTAACCACGTCGAGATCCACGAGTTATCTTCGAGAGCTTCGAATTTATCTCTACGAGCGAACGAGCGCTCGTCGAAACGAAAAACTCTCGTTATTTATTCATAGTAGTATACAGCAGTAGGCGAAAACGTTCTTAATGATACTCGTAGCTTCGATTTTTCTCGAAATATTAAGTACTACTTAAAAAAAAAAAAACAGGAGAGACGAGGTGCTTTTTTATGCGAACTAAAGACTTTAAAAGACGGATGCGCGCGCGGGTTCGAAATCGAACAAAGTCGCGTTTTTCTGTTTGGAAGTCCGCTCGCTTCTCATCCTCGTGTATCGACTATTCTCTTCGACTTTCTCTCCCTCTCTCTCTCTCTCTCTCTCTCTCTCTCTCTCTCTCTCTCTCTCTCTTTCTCTTTCTTGAAAATCTCTTACGTAATAAAAGAAAAAATAATGCACTTTGTGCGGCGGAAAAGTTCGCTCGCAGAGATATCGAAATAAAAAAAGCAGAATGAGCCTTTCTTCGCTCGAAGCTTCTCCGTTGGGATCTGACGTGTGCGATTATTGAAAAAAAGGGGTAGAGAAGAAGAGACAATGATAACCACATCGTCCAGCCTGTGCGGATCGGACAGGTATAATAAAGGTAAAATAAAGAAAAACAATTTGAGAGATTACGACACCGATTATAATTGAAAAAGTTTCTACTTACGTAGTTACGTCTAGATACATATACTTACGTATTGTGTATAGTGTCTAAAAGAAAACGCTGAATTCGTAGCTGCGAGGCTGGGTTTGTACGAGGAATGTATGGAAATAGGTAGTTGCGTACGCGCGTTTCTATATGCGTGAATACTTCTTACGTGACCGTGGGTCACGTCTAAAGCATATTTGATGCGCCACTTGTTCACATCCAAGAATCGTTTCTTTACAAAGAACGAGCGTGTAACCATCCACGAGCTTAGGAAACGGTGACCGTCGAACCGAACTATGTTGACGCGTCGAAAGAGAGGACTCTTCAATCCAAAACACGGAGTAATCATTTCTTTATCGTCCACGATTCTCCGAGCAAACTAAATTATTCCAGGTTCGTTCCTCTTTCTTATCCTTTTCTTCTGTATCCTGTTATTTTCATCTTAGAACTTTAGCGTATCGAGTCATTCATCGAAATCTCTTTCAAGGCCTTATATCTAACGAATATTATCAAATGTTCTTTTTTTTACTTTTTTACTTTGTTTTCCCTAATTAAGATTTCTTAATAAAAAAGACTAACCTCGTAGAACATTCCCGCGATACATGGAAATATTACTTACCCGTTTCTTTTTTCCGTTTACCAGAACTCAAAACGCCGTTCAAAATAAAGAGATCAAAAACGAAGAACGTAGAAAATAAAAATAGACAGGATATGACTAACTGAAGAGAGTCGACGAAGTAGCCCGCTCAGTTGACAATAAGACTTGACAATTAGTATATTAATAGCGTTTAAAGTGTTAACATAGGAAAATAAGGAAGTGCTCTAACCAGCAAATCTCGAGAAAAAAGTCTTCAAAGTTTTGGTCTGTTCAAATTCGGTAAATCGTCAATTGGCCTGGAGTAGCACTCTTCTACTACCGTCCAGAATTCGATCCCGTGTACATATTGATATTTTTTTTTTTTAATATTATCCAAATAATTTTTTAATGCATTCTATTTTATATAATAGTTAAATTAAAATACAAATTTAATTTTTATTATCATTTTTTTAACTATCATCTCCGATCCTTTAAAAAATAAAAAAAAGTAAAATCATCTCATACGCTTGGTATGTTTCAAAATTTTCTGAAGAAAGAGAAATCTCTTCAAATGTAAACGAAGTATATTCTTCAACAAATCTTCTTAAAAAACCTTATTCTTGCGAACAATCGACATTTATTAATAGTGCGAAACGTCAAAATATTACTTATTGTTTATGCTTTTATGATAATTATCATTCGGGTTCTCGTATACGACTAAAGTTATGTATACTTATACAATATTTTAGAGAAATTTACGTGAGAAATAAATACCTCGCATAAATTTGTCAAAAATAAAAATATTTAAAAATATTCATAATTAATTTAATAATAATTAGGATATGATTTATTGTTTAAGAAAATACGTTTTCTTTGTTTTAACTATTATATAAAATAGAATATATTAACAAATTATTTTGGTGATTTTTAAGAGAACAAAAAAAAACATTCTTAAGGGATTTAACACGGAACGCCAAGATAACAGGCAAGAGCGCCACTACCTAAGACGCTTGTTAATAATTGGCAATTATGATATTCCAGAAAAGTGCTGTCTCATCGGTATTAAATATCTAATACGGAACATATCCGTTTTCTTCAATTACTTTAATAAATTTTACTGAAGATTCATTAGCTGCAGATTTGTCAGAAGACGCAGTTTCACCTTTGAATTTAAAGTTCCATAATGGATATCTTTTTTTGAAATTTCGAAACCATTCTTTACCTGCAGAGAAAGTACCCATTTTATTAATTTCTGAAGCTTTTCTTTTAACCTGTTAAAAATGTGTATAGCCTTATCTTTTATCATTAAACTATTCATGGGAATTTTTTTGTATGTTAGCGTTTATCCAATTCATCAGAGCTTTCTATTCCAGGATTCTTTGTGTAGGCCTTGTGCGGGACTGACCGTATAAAATTGTTAATTTTAAAACTTATAGGAAAATATATATGTATATATCTGACCGCGTAAAAAAATATCTGCATGAATTCCGCGTATAAAAAGTTCCGCGTAAATTGAGGCAAATTTGGTGTCAAAAAAGTGTCGCGTAAATTGAGGAACGGGTGTATATAAACAAGGATAAAAACTTCAAAGGCATTTCTCTCGAAATTAACGGTCCTAATTGCTAATGCGTCTTTATATTCCAATATGTTAACACCTTAAAGGTATGCTATTATTAAACGAACAATAAGTTTTATCCTGAATTGGGCGGACTACTTCGTAAAGTCTTCTTATAAAAGTGAAAGACGATCCAACGATCTCACCAATCCATCCTTCCTTTCCAAATATGTCTCTATTTTCTTCACCGCCTAACTAATTGCGTACTAATTAGAATAGAAGAAAGAAAAAAAAGATAGGCCGATCGACACCGCCGATTCAATGAGGGAAAGATCGAAAGAGTATTAAAAAGAAATGATAGGAAGAGATTTAAGGGTTTTTCTCGTCGATATCGAGCAGCTTAACTTTTCCTCCTTCTCTCCGCTTGGATTAATATCTCGTAAGCTTAAAAGAAAATATCTCGTACATTCTGTGATACTTGTCCCTTAAATAATGCGTACACGTTACGCGTGTATATCTAATACATTCCTTCGCACTCGTACATGCATACATATTCACTCTCTACGATCTACAAACACATATACGCACGAACACGTAGAAGAAGGATGAAAAAAGAATACACGCAACCAGCTATTCCAATAGTTGCAATATTTTTCTCTTTTTAAAGAGCATTCCGAGCAGATTTATACTCTCTGTAATCGTTTAACGTCTGAATAGTCTCGAGTCGAGTTGATAATTGAGAAGATGCAAATCACAATAATCGAACGTAACCTCGATTAATTAACCGCGAACAGGGACCGCGATGAAAGAAAAAGTGAAAGAATACAAATTCGAGTTAGGAGTACGAGTAAGATGACGGCACACCGATCTGAATCTGGAATGCAAAAGTCTAAGCATTTCTTTCGCGTTTCATCGGTGCGATTAATAACGTATTTCCATCTTAAAAAAAGAAAAAGGAAAAATTAGGGACTAATTATAGCCCCTAATTTTTACTTTTCCTTTTTCACTATTTTTCCTCTTTTTCTTGTTTTTCCGTTCGACAGAAGGAAGGACTGAAACTCGCACGAATGTTCACGTTGGACTTTTGCATTCCAATCGCTGGCAAAGGCGCAGAACCAAATATCGAGACAGACTTTAGAGATCGTTCAAAGCTATCGAAAGCGCATAGACAGGAAATATTGAAGAATTGAAAGAAGCCGTTTAAGATGAAACGATACAAATTTAGAAAAAAAGATATACACAACTGTTGACAATACTATGCTTGAAAAAAAATCGTATGACGCGTATGTAATGTACCTAACGAATATTATTAAAAAAGAAAACAAGAAAAAACGAAAAAAAAAAAAAAAGAAAAAGTATTAAACAAAAAAGAGATGGAGTTTCTATGCTTCGCGAGTAAAGGGAAGAGAGAAGGGAAAACAAATAAACAATGGATATGGCGTATATAAGGGGCGACGAAGAAGCGTAAATCCGTGCGTATATACGGATGACTACGTGTCTTATTACGTAAAAAATGATGTCTAATCGAACAAAGATACGTCGTCATTTTCGTCGTACCACGGAAAGCATTGATAACCACCACCGTTGTTATCAACTTTTTTTCATGCGTAGGATGAAACGCCGGTGCGTAGCCTGCGAATACAAAGGTAAACCTAAAGCAATTATATCCGATTCAAACACGCACATTAAACACAAAATTTTTTGGGCGAATTAAGAAGAGAGAAAGAGATTGAAAGCGAGAACGAGAGGAAGAGAGAGGGGGAGAGGGAGAGATAGAGAGAAAAGGAGATTATTATTAAATATATAAAAATCCCGATCTTTGTTAATAATAAATGTTCCACTTTCATTCGTTTACTCGCACTACAGAGTTACATTCTTATTACTTTCTTAACATCGGGACGAAAAGCTTAATTCTTCGAAAAACATCGAAAATGAACGTCAAGTTTTAGCTTCTTCCCGATTTCGTCCCGTCTAAGCGATTCTCTTTCTCTTTTCTATAAATCGTATCATCGGTGATAAATGAAGCTCATATCTTTCCTCTCGCATCATAGCCTGCATTGTACATAAATGCCGCGTATATAGATAGGCGATAAATAGACGAATGATTTTCCGCGTAGCGTCCTCATCGCAAGAGATAAACCAGAGAGAGAGAAAGAGAGAGAGAGAGAGAGAGAGAGAGAGAATGTGAGATAGGTAGAAACGAACAGATCAAGAGTAACACGTGGTAAAAATGTCTATCGTTGCGTTATGATTGGATTTTTAAGAAGGTCGAGTCGACAAATAGACGTTCGTTTTAAATAACGGTAAAATGATTTAGAAGATAAAAAAGATTCGTTTATCAAACGATAAATACATTCGTGTCGACTTTAAAAACAACTATCAGTTTCGAAAAATCGTTTGGAAAATTCGCGTCATATGTACACCTATATATTTATAACTCAGAGATACAAATTTAAACGCGAACATGAAAGGTTTTCTCAAAATCGCGATCGTCGTTTTTGACCGTATGCCTTGTAACATATTTTACAGAAAAAGAAAGATAACTTATTACGTGATTTGTACATATATAAGAAAATGCCATCGTGTGATGATGAACCAGAAATGACAATGTTACAATGAGTGTGATCCTTTATGTGTAAAGATAAAAAATGATAGAGAAAAAATAAAAGAAAAAAAGAATAAATGATAGCATAAAAAGCGAAAAGAATCTAAAGATTGAATTAAAGCGAGAGAAAGGGAGAGGCGAAAATACGCTGATGTTTCGATCATAAACGTTGTGTTTCATATCATAAACAAAATATAATATATCGTTATTTGTTAAAAAATATGACAAACTGCGAAAGAAAGAGAGAGAGAGAGAGAGAGAGGAACGAGGATTCGAGAGGAGTCGAAATTGAAAAGACGAGGAAGGAACGATGAGGACGAGAGTATCGATCGCATGACCAACAAATCTAGTCACTGGTAAATATATATAAAGTCGGTGCGATCGATACCCTAGACGTGGGTACGTCTATTGAACTCGCTAGGTCTTATCACCTTTATATTTTTTTTTCTCGATGGTACTGCTAATGAAAGAAAAATAAACTAAAACGAATTTTGCGTGAGGAGTTGAAAATCGCAAATATGCCAAAAATCGCAGCGCAATGGATCAAGCGAGGGTTGCATCTTAACACAGATCATTATGTCTTGGCTTCTCTCTTCCTTCTATCTAAACCATCCTATTTAAACCCCCACGTTCAACCAATCGACACTTCCTTCAACTATCCGTAATTTCATTTTCATATCAACGCAAGTACGTGTGCACGTGTAAGATACTAGCGCATTTATCGGCCATACCAATCACAGATAAATATATTGCACATACGATTGCACATATTATTATACATACCACTCCACTGTACATACATACGTAAAACATGATCGTGATATTGTACGTCATAAGTCATAACCGAGCCGTTACCTCGCGCAATCCTACAAAGTCGAAAATTCATGAGGCTTATCTTTGGGAAAAGAAACGCGAGTGGAGAGCGAAGAAGTTTTTTATAAAACTATTCGATTTCCCAGCTCTCTCTCGAAAAAATACATATAATCTCAATATGTCTCAGCCCGCATTCTTATACTCAAGCATATCGGTGTATCGTCGTTACTTGTGCCACACTGCGTGTTCTCTCTTTTTCCAATCCATATTCTTCGTTATTCTTTTCACTTCTATTACTTTATAATATTGACAAAAAGAACATATCTTTGTAAGCTTAGCAAAAAGATAAACGAAAAAAGGTCTAAATATCGAGATGTTTTGCACGCGTTCATTCGAATCTCCGAGAAGATGTCGTGAGGATATCGTAAGCATCTTCTCCGAACAACGAGAGAAAAAGAGAGAGATAATAAACAGAGCGAATGTTATCCGTGCTTCTCTGTTAAAGACTTTTTTAAGGATATACCACCAGAGGTGCCATTGATTCTCGCGAGTATATGGTAGAAGAAGGTGTATGTCGTCGACGATTACGACCACGACGACAATTACATTAATAGAGTCTCGAAGGAAATAAGAAAATACAAAGCTTCTTCGTACATACATACCTTTCTCGATTATTCTTTCGTTCATTTACCTTGATCGCGAGAAACGGCTTTCTTCTAACGGCATACACTTACATTTATCCTGCCCGATACGAATTTCTGTAATAACGAAGAAAATAATAAACGCGCTTTCGCGAGCAACAAAAAGAATATCAGAAAGAAGCATATAAGCGATACGTACGTACGTTTACATCGTGTGCATGTGTGTGTGTGTGTGTGTGTGTGTGTGCGCGCGCGCGCGCGTGTGTGTATATATAAATATATATAGAGAGAGAAATATGCAGGGTTTATTGTAGCTGGTGGTACAGGCGAGCATGAGGTAATCCCACATGAAAAACTTATTTGAATTAAGTAGATGACAATTTTTCATATAAGGCTTTGCGTTGAAAAAAAAAAGTTTGAAAATTTGTGGAATATGCATACACATGACTGAGCTTGCAAACCTAGAAACTAAAAACCTTGTTCGATAAGCATAAGAATAGAACCGATACAAGAGATATCATCATAATGACAATGTTTGCATTAATGTTTAGAAGCACAAAGTCAGCACTCTAAAATATTTTAGAGTAAGATAATAAAATCCTTCGAACTGAAACTAAATCAAGTGCACGAGTACTTGACAAATTTTCAAACTTATTTTATTTCAAAACAAATTTTTACATGAACAAATTTTATTCTACACATTTTATTTAGTTTCTCATATAGAATCATCACCTGCTCTCCACCAATTACAGGATACCCTGCGTTTAAACAAGAACATATAAGATATATATATATATATATACACACACATGATGAACTTCATTTCGAATTTTTCTCCTGTTGTCCGTTCGCACAGTTTTCTCGTTCCTCATTTGTGTAAAATGTACCATATCCAAAGGGTGCTCTTAAATGGATAGCGGAACAAAAATGATTTGCGTCATAAGGCGATAAATAATAAGGTGAAAAGAAACAGAATGGTTTTCTTATTGGAAATGGGCTGCCTCGAAGGAAGGTAATCCAAAGATTCTAATAAATCATTAAAATTTACTAGTCTGAATGCTTTTTTCCTTCTTTATGTACATTTCTTGTCTTTCAATCCTTACCTGTATGATTACAATGGCATCTACATATATCGTGTCTATGTTTCCATGAAAATGATTTTGATTATCAGTTAGAGTGAAAGTAACAAAAGAAAAAAAGAAAGAAAGAAAGAAAGAATGATAGAAATAAAGAAAAGCTTTAGATTTCTCGATATAAGATCAAAGAAATATAAACTACTTGAATCTTCTTTATTAATTCATTACACTTCTATATAACTCGTATAACTGTTCTAGTATACGAATTGTACGATCAAATATTGATCATGAATGACATCTCTTTTACTCATTCTTTTAGCTTACTGTCTGGAATCAATTCTTCTTGCCTAAAAAAAAGCAAAATTTAAATGAAATACAAATTTAATAAACAAATGAGGTGGTAAGTAAATTAATTTAAATTTCAAAGCATGTTTCTTAACTCGATTATTAACAAATTTTCTTTAAAATATTTATTTCGATTAAACATAAATTAATCTTAAAGATGAAATATATTTAAAGAATATAATGTGACATAACTGTATTTACCCTTTCATTTGTTGGTAATCTTAATTGAATATTAGAAGTTACGTAATTACTATGATAACCTTTCAACAGAATGTATATCACATAATTCATGAAAAATATTGTTCCCACTCTGGACAATAAAGTCACTGTCGGTTTAACAAACAACTCGATAAAACAAATGGGAAAATTTATCCGAGAAAAGAGTTAGTAGAAGTTAAACGTATATACATCGATTAAAGGTTAACTTTGGATAGACTGGAAACTTAAAGATACTATAATTCCTAAATAAATTCCCTAAGAGGTTGCTAGCGATTTGCTGATTGGTAGAATTGGAAGGAGCTATAAGATGGCGCTAGGTGTGCATGTGGATTGAGAAGAAAATCGACTTAATGCTCTTAGTCGAACGTTATTCAAGACCGCGTAAGGACAGTAAGGTCGCCAGGCTATCAGTTCGCTTACTTAATACTTGTGATTGGCCGACGGCTCTCCCGCAATCCCCACCTACTAGGTGGCAGTTCGAAAGTGTAGTTGTGTAGTTTATCAAGACGAAAGGACGGGCGCTGCTCTCTCTTTCCTTCTTTATTTCCCCATTTCCCATAAGTCTTAACCGCTACGAGAAAATCTTCAAATGTTATATCGGTGCATTAATATGTGACGTTCAAAAGAAAAGAAGGCCAAGGGAACGTGCGAAAGGGTGGTTACGCGCGGTTCTTAATCACTTTTCAAGTGTGGGAGAAAATCTTTGCAGGAGGAGGTGAAAAGCCGAACACGAGATCGACGAAGACGAAGACGAAGACGAAGACGACGAAGACGAAGACGAAGACGACGAAGACGACGAAGACGAAGACGACAACGACGTTCGAGGTGCAGGAGAGAGAAAGAAGAAAAGCAGTGGTGGAGAGGTCGTTCGTCGAGAGGCCGTCGAAAGGCCCTGGCGAGAGATTAAGGAGAGACGAAAGAAAGGAGGAGAAAAACGACACTGCGAGTCGAGAAAAGAGGTGTCGGATTATAGACTATAGAGGACGAGAAAGAAGAAACAAAAGAAGCTAAAATTTGTCTACTTTTGAAAAAACGTAGAAGGAAGATACAAACGAAGACTTGTAACGTATCGCCAAAAGGCTCGACCGAAGACGCACGGAGACGTACGAAGAGCGACCGATTGAAGGAAAAGAACAAGCGTGGACAATACAGTAAGAGTGTGAAGACGATAGGGACAACGACAATCGAAGACGTACGCGTGTTAGGTTATTCCTCATTCATTAAAATAAATCATTAGTGATTTTCCGTTATTAACGGAAAGATAACCTAAAAACGGAAGAAAAAGTTGGAGAAAAGACACGTATTCACGGATATTGGTAGAAGAATCTCTCTTTCTGTCTATCTATATTTTTATCCCAAAGACGAAAACGAAGGCGAAGTCGTCACGGTGGTCGAGAGTTCCGGGTGCGGAGATAGTTTCCTCGCGATCACGGAATTGTTCTCTGCTTCACTCTCTCGTTCTGACGTTCCGAAGCACGAGATTAAAAAGAGAAAAAAAGAGAGAGAGATAGAGTGAACGAAAGAAAGAGAGAGAGAGAGAGAGAGAGAGAGAGAGAGAGAGAGAGAGAGAGAGAGAGAACGAAGAGGACGTCAGCTGTATGCGCTTTACAACGAAGGGGACGACGTGTATGTGATACTGTGCGGGGAGAGAGCGCAAACGAGAAGGAAAGAAAGAGAGAGATAGCAGCCACTGCCGAGAGATAGAGAAATGGCGGCGCTGGTGGCAGGTGTCCAGTATGGTTTGTCGTCGCAAAGCAATTTTCACGAGAATAAATCGCTCATATTTGTGAAGCTCACGGATTCGGCGCAACGTGCCATCGAAGATTTTCTTCGAAATAAGGTGAGTTTGATCTTTTCCAAAATTGGTGTTATTCTAGCTTCCATTCGTTGGGCTGACTTTACTGCTGTTTCCAAACGCACATATACGTCCACAGTAGCAGTAGCTAGCAGCAGCATCAGCAAACTTGTGTTCGTGTGTGTGCACTCGCGCGCACATCAGCGCCACGCAAGCTCGTGTGTTATGTGCTCGCTCGTTTACGTCGAGTTTTGTGCGAACTTGCGTGGGTGGGGGTGTGCGTGCGTGCGTGCGTGCATGCATGCTTAGCATTTGCGTCCGTGTGTATACGATCTCGTGGCTGGAAAACCTGTGTCGTAACGGATACGCACGTTTCTACGCACGTTTCTATGCACGATATTAATCAAAGCCATATGTATTTCGAATATAGGAAAAAACTAAAATTTATTTCGGACGAAGAGTTATCTGACCGAACCCAGCTTGACTAGCAAAATGAACTAACGATAACACTAACACTCTTGTCACCGAAAGGTCTCAAGGCAAAAGCAAGATTTTCAACTCTCGACATTTCTAACCGTATGCTTTGACAACTGCGATTACTACGTTACGTAAGCCTTTGAGAGTACTCGACGCACTCGCCAGACCACACGGATTGCCTTCTTTTTTTTCTTTCCTTTTTTCTTTCCTTTCTTCTTTTTTTTCCTTTTTTTGGTATCTTTACGGATAGATCGAGCATAGTAACCATCTTTACGTAATACATATTTTACTTTGTTTTACGGGTTTTGTACTTTTCAAGGATAAAGAAATGCTACAGATGTTTCGCTTGTCGCCATTGAAAACGAGAAGACATGCCCGGTTACTTTCGGAACGCATAATAGATTTTCTAACGCATATGTTCTGCCTAGCCTTCTGTCTCTCTCTCTCTCTCTCTCTCTCTCCCTCTTTCTCTCTCTTTTTCTCTCTCTTTTTCTTGAATTTCATTTATCGAAAATATTGTTCGAAAAGATATCCCGCAGCTTGCGTTCATTATTTCATAATTTTAGCATTTAGGGTAAATACCAAGAAAGTAAAAATTTCTTGGTTGTATATCAAGGGAAACGTATAAACAGATGATTCATCGTCTTGCTAGTCGTCACTATTAACGATTATAATTTTTACGATCTTCTATTTGCAGAAATATATATGCATATTGTACATTATATATGTGTATATATGTACGTATGTATCTATGTATTTAGATAGAAAAATCTTAAAATGTGATTTTTCTTCATGCATAGCAAAGTGGCTTTAAACGAAGAAGGATGAAGAAAAGAGAAGGGACAGCTTAAAACTCTCGAATGGTGACATTGTAGAACGGTTCTCCTCGAGGTATCGTCGAGGCAACGCTGAAAATAGCCACGTCGGTGGTCGTGCGGCCTTTAAAAGACGTCATGTCGTGTTTTTGTCTGCACTTTTGTTCACGCTTTTACCTGCGCTTTTGTTTGCGCTTTATATACTTTTATATCTTTATTTATTTTTCTTTTTTCCCGGAAATTTTCAAATTTTGATTTCAAGTCCAATAGTGGATTATGTTGGTATCGTAGCACGAAACGAAACGTGCAAGAGAGAGAGAGAGAGAGAGAGAGAAAGAGAAAGAGAAAGAGAAAGAGAGAAACGTTGAGGCAAAACGACGGTCACTCTCATCGACGAACGTTACGATAGATGTGAATTTTTTAACGTCATCAGACCCCCTCTCCTTTCTCCTTCTCAACTCTCTCGGACGAGATTCGAAAGTAGAATTGTCGCGATACATTTCGACGATAGACTTTGTTTATCGAAAGATTTATACCACAAATCCTATCGTGTTCTCGATACAACCTCTTCGAGCTACATTTTATTAAGTTTTGCTTTTTTCTTTTACCTTTACTCGTTATTCAAAAGCAACGTAAAATCGATAATAGCGAACGTTGACTTTTCTTGCTAAATATTGACATGTTTTTTACTTTTTTTTTCATATACTTTGCACAAGCTATGGGCGAGCTACGTGATTCATACTATGATCATTTTATTAAAGAAAATTACGAGTCTTTTGTGAAAGTTAAATACATGTATACGTATATGTGTCGTTACATATTTATAAGCATTTCTTAATAAGAAGGAATTTTGTAGAGATAATTTAATAAAACTTTGAATATTTTTGAGGCACGTAGTGTCGTTCTTCTCTATAACATGTTAAGTATCTTTTGTATAGATATGTAGTGGCTAAAAAAAAGGTCTTTTTCGAAAAGACCTTTTTTCCCTTTTTCTACCTGAAAAATCGTTTCTTTGATTGTCGCTTTTGTCTCCCCGATTGTCGAAAACGAAACGAAACGAAATTATTTTTTGATGAGTCACATTTCCAAATCTCAGGAAAAATTGAATACCGGAACTTGCAGAAAATTCCGCTCGAACTTTCTCAGTCGTGTTAAAACGTAAGAAAAACTTGTTTTGCCGAAGAATCGATTTTTCGTTCGACCACCCTTTACGAAACACTTCCTGGGTCTCTCCAAATTTTGATCGAAACAATTCCGCTTGGAAACGACTTGGCGAGTTTGAACAAAAGGTAGATAACAGCCTATCTTCGAGCTGTACGAAATTACGAGATTAGATCGCTATATAATGATTGCTTGATTTTAATTGAAAAACAATCTGAACTTGTTTTTTATACTTAAGGGGGGATAGGGTTAATTCGGTCGAAAAATGGCATATTTTTATGAATTTTTTTTTTTAAAATGGTTAATATAAATGATGTTATTCCAATGGAGTATTGTCAAGTAACATTTTAAAAATACATTGTGAAATTTTCGTGAAAAAATATAAAGATTTGAGTCAGTGGCAGCAACTTTTGTCAGGGACTCGCGGAAAAAACGTTTTTTGCGGTGGACATCAAAACTCAAGACTGAATCCTTGAAAACAGCAAAAATTAAGCCATTCTGTTTGTTTATAAGTTTATCTAGGTAACCCTGTCGAGAAAATTTTTTTTTTTTTTTAATTTTTTTTATTTTTGATGGCATTCTAACGTCAAAAACCCAATTTTCGACCAAAAACCAACATTTGAGCCCCTATAAAAAATACTTAAAATTAAAAAATAAAAAACTTTACAACGTTACCTCGCTAAATATGTGTAGAAAAAGTGTGCAAAAAATCAAATCGATCGGTTCAGTAGATATTGAGAGACAGTGTCCACCGACTTTTAAAAACCAAGTTGTAGGAAAATCGATTTAAAGTTTGACATTGAGAAATTTCCAAATTCATCATAAAAAAAGAGGTATTTTAATTTTTTACTTATATAGAGTCGTCAATTCCGGGTCCGTACATTATGGAAATGTCATCAGAGATGTCCAGAATACGTTGTTGCTCTTGTTTCGGCTAATCCGACCTTCTTTGCTTTGAAGCGTAGTTTTGATTTCAGCTCGATTAATCCTTTTTTGTAATATAAACCATACTAAAAATGCTGTATCTCCGTCAAATTTTCTCGTATTGACTTGAAATTTTCACAGAATATTCCTGAAATATGGTACTTTTACCTCTAAAATTTTCAAAAAATCGAAAAAAAATTAAATAACCCTCCCCCCTCTTTAATACATACTTTTTCTTCTATTTCTCCCTTTCACCCACCTACATTATACGATTAGAAGATAAATTGATCGAAAGAGCTCGTTGATGGTGATTGGTGCGTTTTCTTTTTCTTTTTTTTCGTGAACAACATCCAGCAAGCAGCAATATATTACGTAGTAGAAGAAAGAGAACATTATTTATTTGTCATAAACACAAGCAACAAATATGAGATAACATTTGATTAGATACGACGTTTAAGCTCGTTATCACGTAGGGCTAGTAAATGTAAACGAAATGAAAGGCAGGAGCTTTTAGCAAATTAGACGAGTCGGGCTTGTAATTGTGTAATTATTCAAAGGTTATATTTTCTTTAGATGTATATTTTAAACTCCGGATCGACACTGACCAGCGATGTTAATAAAATTCAGAAAAGAATAGTCGCGACTAAGAAAAATAAGAATATACATCGTTTGCCGTACAAAAACCTTTTGCGGTTTGGTAAAACATCGAGGATACACGTCATTCTTTTATGTAAATCGCATAGCTGTCGGAAATGAACTAATATTTCTTCCTCGTTAAACCACCGAGTTTGTCCGTTCTTTTTATTTCTTTATATGTTATATATATAATACCTTAAACGATTGTTAAAAATCGAAGAAACGATGAAAGGTTTCAAGAAGATTTTGAAAAAAGAAACAAGCTCAGACTACGCTCCAGAGAGTTTAGAATTCTAATTCAGAATATTTTTGTACCCGAGGGAGAATCAGCTGTTAGGAAAGAAAAATCTAAATTTCTTCCCTTTGAACGACACAACTGTTGCTTCAAATTTGAATAAGGATTCGAAACTATATATCATCGGCCATAGACGATATTTTATTTTTCTCAATGTTTTAAATATAATTTGTTTCGAATCTTATTTGCGCGTTTGTACGTATCAGTCCTTTTTTATTCGTTAGCCTTCGAGAGGGGATACAGGTGCAAGCAAGAGTAAATAAGGTAACGATCCTACTCTGTGAACCTCGAGAACGTGAAAGGTGTGGGGATTTAAGCGAACATACCGTTTCTCTCCCCTCTCCCTCAAGTCCCCTCGGAGACCTACTGAGAAAAAGGACTGTAGGAAGGTCAATTCGGAAAAGCTTTACCATAGTCGGCCAAATCCTCAATAGCCATTAACTATAAACTAAACTTTATTCTATGCATTGACGAAAGTTTATTTTACGATGGAGGATTTATGGTAAGCTCGTGATAAATAATAGAATCTGGAGAAGAAATTAATTCACTTTGTCAATCGAATAACAAATTGAAAGGACGCTCGGAAGCCAATTTTTCGAGCTTCTTTCACTAGAGATAAATTTACCAGACGATTACTCGTACAATATTTCTTGTAAATCCTTATTATATCTTGGCACCTCTGTAAAAGTTCATTTTACTATATGTTGTGCGATACATTGTGCGTCTCCGATCCCACA